GAAAAACGAGCCCATTTTTGGGAGGTCTGCAGAGTGCAAAACCTTTTTTTTTAATCTGCCTCTTCAAAATCTTGGTGCGTCTTATACTCCAGTGCGTCTTATGCTCTGAGAAATACGGTATATATGTTATCTAATACATGCGTGGCAAAATGAATAAAGTAAGAAATAAATAAACTTGGTTGTGTTCTACCTATATGACAAAAAAAAATTCCCCACACTGCTCACCTTCGTAGGGGAACTACCAGATAAGGTTTGATGGGATTGAGGGTGAGTCAGGCTTATGCCTCTTGCTATCGCACAAGGACTCAAGGCTATTCCCTCTCTTGATTCCTCCTCCAGCTTGGCTGAGAATTTCCCAATATTTGCCAAATTTCTCTTCTTTCAGCTCACTATTAAATTCAGCATTCTCGTCTGTCATCCTTCCCTAAGTTAAGTGATGCATATGGAGGAGGAAGCAATTTGCTAACATTTTATTGGGATTCTCAAGAAATTTTGAGGACATATATCAGCAAACCGAGTTGTTATGGCAGCCTTTTAAGCTTGTGAACTGTTTCTTGTTCCTAAGAGGGTCATTCAGCACAGCCGAAGGGGAAATGCATAATAAAATAAGCTAGTATGGCTTTTATACTGAAAATGATAGTTATATTTTCTCCCCTGATGTGTTATAAACCATAGCCAACCAAAATAGTGAATGTTCACAATTACTCTTCCAACACGTCCTGCTTAGATACAGTTAAGTCCATGAAACTGCTTGGGTTCCCACGAATACATCTGTGCTTTTCTGAATTTAAACGTTTCATTTGGAAACTTGGTATCATTTCAGATTTCTGGGGGGAGCGACAATACGTCAATAATTCAAGGCTTACTCTAACCTATCACAAAAAGTAAGCGCACAATGAATGCTATTAACTGAAGGCTAACTCTTTTCTATAGATGCAGGTTGAGGGAGTCATCAAGAGTGTAAAAACATCCTCCTTTCCCCTTTTAAAAGTTCAGACCGAATAAAAGTCATTTGGGCAAATATCAATGAAATACAAGCCTAGGAAAAATCAGTGTTTGATATATTTTCCAGCACAGGTGTCATTCCTAATGATAATGATACCAAAATGATTCAGTGTGCGTCATGATGTTATAAGATACAATTGCCCAGAGTGATGCAAGTATGACAGCTAGTATAGAAATTAGGAGAGAGGGACAGAGACAGAGACAGAGAGAGAGACAGAGAGAGAGAGAGAGAGAGAGAGAGAGAGAGAGAGAGAGAGAGAGAAACAAAGAGAGAGAGAGATAGAGAGAGATAGCGAGAGAGTCAAAGAGAGAGACAGAGAGAGAGAGAGAGAGACAGGAGAGGGAGAGAGAGACAGAGAGAGACAGTCAGAGAGAGGCAAAAGGAGAGAGAGAGATAGAAAGAAACAAAGAGCGAGACAGAGAGACACAGAGAGACACAGAGAGAGAGAGAGACAGAAGGAGAGGGAGAGAGAGACAGACAGAGAGAGACAGAAGGAGAGGGAGAGAGAGACAGACAGA